CACAAGGTGTTGTCCAGAATGTCAAAGTGTTGTGTCGTGGCCAGGAAAGTTTATGCACGATTAATAAATTGATTCTTTTGGAATTAAATGGAATTCAGTCAACTGTAAATGAAAATGTAAGGGAAAGTGACACGAGTGATATTGAAGATAACACAGATCAAATAATGCAGGAAGATGAAATTGTAATAAGACCTATTAGAAAAACAATCACTCAAGCCAGAACTGGCTGGAATTGTTTCTTAGAGGAAGGAGCAATTTGAGTCGTTTAGCAACGAACTCCGCCCAGCCACAGTAAGGAAATATATAGTACAGTGTATTTTGTATGTAAATTGATGAAATATATTGTATGTAATAAAAATTAATTTGTAAATAAATAAAGAACCCGCGAAATTGGTGAGCATCGCTGGGGGAAGGAGAGACACCATTGTTTTGAACTGGGCTAAAGACACGCGAGTGAAATGTGCATAAATTCCGTCGCTCTGGAGGTTAAATTGTGGTTGAATCCTCCCAAATAGGAGCAGAAATTGTTGGAATTGCAGTCCTGCATAACTTGAAAAGGCGAGTGGACAGGACAGCCAGGGAAACCCAGCTAAGTTATGTCTATTTATGTTGAAATTCTGGCCAGTACTTTCTTCACACTTAGGCAGGGGTTTGTGTATGACACACCAAGTAATCTCCAGACTAATTGGTGAGTGTTGTTATTATAAATTCTCCTTCAATGTATATGTATTCCTTTTTTTAAACTTTATATACAGTCCACATATTTATATTAATGTTGTACCAGAATTCCTGGTGATGAATATTTTAGTTGAAATTAATATAGGTTCAGAGTGACTTGTGGAGATAGAGATTATAGTAGGTATCGATGGGGGACATTTTTTGCGACCTAGGTGTCCTAAAATTCCTACATATCTCTGTAACATTGATAAAGAATAATTGTCTTTGTTACCATTTACTGGTATGTATCTAATGATATTTATCCAGGCAATTTTTAATTTTCCATAAATACGTTAATCGCAGTCGCTCTTTGTATAAGGATTAAATGGTAAGGTCATAGCATTCCTAAGCGTTGTTGCACTCGTTCTACCATCCTATTCTAATTTGCCTCTCTCGCTGCTCTCAGGTCAGCCTCATAGAGAGCACCATATATCTTCAGACTTCCAACCTGCGCTGCTTGACATCGCATCCCCACTCCACCCTCCCTGACCGCGCCCCCAGCCCCATGATCATCGACTTCTCCAAGTTTACTTTCATCCCCGTAGCTCCCCAAACATGCGCACGACCTCCCCCAGTGCCCCCAACTGCATCTCCTCACTCACCAGAATGGTTGTATCATCCATGTAACCTACCAGAGCAGGCCAAAGCTGCCCCTCGCCTACCCCTACCCCGTATCCTATACAATCCTCCACCATCCTATAAAAGGGGTCCTGAACACATGCAAACAATAGTTGTGACATTGGACATCCCTGTCTAAGACCCGTCCCATGTTGACTGCCTCCCCACTCACCCCTTTATTTGTACCCACACTCTTGCTCCCCTGTTTCTACCCACAGCACGATTTCCTCCCCGAAACCCTGTCTGATGAGAATATTCTGCAATGATCCTCTTTCCACCCTGGCATACGCCCCATGTCAATCCAATGCCAACAACCCACCCTCCCCCCTCCATTTTTTTCCACAAAACCTTTAATGATCCCGTGTCCTGTGACCATTGACCTACCAAGCAACCCAAACTGAGACTCAGACACCACCCTCACCACAATACATTTAAGCCTGTTTCCCAGAACTTTCGCAAACAACTTGTAACCAGCACATAGCAACGAAATGGCTCGGTAATCCCTAAGGGTGCTCTGCTTCTTCCTCTTTGGGACCAACACCACCATTGCCGTTGCCTGCGTGTCTCCCATCTTACCTCCTTCTTTCATCGCATTCATTAACTTAACCAGAAATCCCCTCAGAAGCCCCCAATGTTACACATAAAATTCACAGGGTAAACCATCAATCCCAGGCACCTTTCCCTTACTCATTTCCATAGGTGCTTTCCATATCTCCTCTTCTTCATTGACCCCGCCCCAGCAACTCTCGATTACTCCTTCCCAGTTTACACGGCTCAAACCCACGCACTTGCATTAGATCTTCCCCTTCCACCCCATGACTTTTCCAATATCCCTCATACCATCTATCCGCAAACACACTCATCCCCTTTGTGTCCCTTAATACTTGACTCTCTTGAAATCCCCCCACCGAGGAGGTGACTTCTAAGCCCAGGATTGCAGTAGCTTGGTGTCACAGCTTCTGGCCTGGCAGCCAGGCCGACGGCCTGTTCCCCATAGAACCTCCTCCATCCCAGCCTGCACCCACACTGCTGCAAAACGCTCCTCCTGCAACACCCTTATCTTCCCCTTCAACATTTGTATGTCCTCCACTGGATAATTCCGCGCTGCTTCCCCTCCATAACATCCCCATAATCTGTCTTCTAAGTAATTGGTTAGGCAAAACTGCAATTGATTAATTCGTTTACCCTCCCGCACGTAAAATTGACGGATCCTTGCTTTTGCCACACTATCTCACCATCCCACCACATCCTCCGCAGTCCTCCCCTCTGCACGAAGCTGTTCCCATAACACTGCAAAACCTTCCAATCCTTCCTCATCCCCCAGAACCTCCGTGTTCAGTTTCCAATAACTTCTATGTCTATGTGTCAATGTCGCTCACCCCACCTCCACCATCACCACCCTGTGATCAGAATAAGCCATCACAATGGTCTTAAAAGACTCGACCATTACCCTCTTCGATAGATATGTTCTGTCGAACCATGCCGCATATCCTCTCCGTACAAAAGTATGCGCCACCTCCCGCATCCCTCCCCCAAACCAATCCCTTAACTGGATATCCCTAAAAAGGCCCCATAATACTGTAGAAAAATATCCCGTTCCCCTTGGTTCTACATCTGCCCTCTTGACAACACAATTCCAATCCCCCCTCCCCCCCACAATCGCCACGGACGGTAAAGTGCATAGGAAGTACACAAGTTCCTCATGTACGAAAACTGTCTTCACTTTCGCATCATTTTCAGCTGGGGCATATATACATACGAATGTCACTCTCACACAAAGGCCTGATATCTAGTCACCACTAATTCATAATCAAGCTGAAAGTTGTGTTCCTGTACAAATACTACATCCTCGTTATATCTGTTCAAAAACATTCTAAACCACTCACGTCTCACGCCATCACACAATCCATTTATATTTATAGTTACCTAAGGCCGGCTTAAGTTTTCCATCCCTGCCACCTCTCAACACTCTTCCCAGTCCTATCAGTCCCCTTTCCTCCATAAATTTACCTACTATGGAGGTAAGGCTTATTGGTCTATAGATGGAAGCTAAGGACCTGTCACCTGCCTTGTAAATAGGTATTACATTTGCCATTCTCCACTTGTCTGTCAGTTTGTAATGATATATTGAAAAGATTACCCAAAGTTCCTCTTTACATTACTTTAAAACCCTTGCAAACAGTTCATCAGGACCTAGGGATTTGTTAGGTTTTAATTTCTCTATTTGTCTGAGGACCATGTCACTAGTTACCGCAATCGTACATAGTTTATTATCGTCCTGATCTACATAATTTATTATTTCTGGAATTTCGCTAGTATCTTCCTGAGTAAACACTGAGAGGAAGTAGGTATTGAAAAGTTCACACATTTACTTATCACTGTCAGTAATCTGACCTGAGTTACTCTTAAGTGAGCGTATCTTGTCCTTAATCTTACTTCTGTATACCTGGAAGAGCGCTTTTGGGTTAGTCTTCGAATCCCTTGCGACTTAAGTCTCATAATCCCTGTTTACTTTTCTTATTAATTTCTTTATTTCTCTCTTTAACAGAATATATTTATTTCTTAACTGCCCTTCCCTTCTTTTGATACGCCTATATATGCCTCTTTTTTGACTAGTGAGATACTTTAATCTATTGTTTATCCACATGGGATCATTTCTCTTAGATGTAATTTCCCTACTTGGGACAAAAGTCGTCAGGGCAGCTAGCACTATGCTCTGAAATACGTCACATTGGCAACCAACCCTACCTTCCTGACACATAGTAAGGTCATCCCTATTTAGCTCGCCCACGTAATTTCTCAGACCAATGAAGTCAACCAAGCGGAAATCTGGGATTGTGTCTTGATTGCAGTTATTTTGGTAATTCCATGATATATTGAAACTAAGTGATTTGTTATCGCTTTCCCCTAGCTCAAGATCATTAACTAGTTATTCTTTGTTGGCAAGAATCAAGTCAAGCAGATTGTTTCCTATAGTTGACTCTGTCAGAAACTGTCATTTCTCTCTAGTCAAAGGTTTGGATCCGTGTTGTTACGATATCGTCGCAGCCTGTTTCATTTAAGACATGGCTGACTATATCCCACTGTGTGCCTTTTATATTGAAGTTGAATTTGGTGAAGGCATCTTCATAACTGATCAGCTTTTACTGGTCAGGAGCCCTTCACATACATGTCTGGTTCTCTATTATGTTGCTGTCTGAGTGTATTGTCTTTGATACGTTATAATCCGAATCACATCATCATTGTTGGTGAAGATATGGCTTATCTAAATCCATAAATGCAACAAACACCTCCTTACCCTTAATTAGGTGCCGCTGACATATGCTTCAATGTAACACTTGGTCTATACATCCCCTCCCCTTCCTCAGTCCTCATTGCTCTTCTGCAGTCCTCATTTCTGTCTTCCCACTCACCTTTCAGTAATAATTCTACTATAAATTTTCCCTGGAACACTCAGCATACATATTCCCTTACAATATCACATTCTCTCTTGTCACTCATGCTCTTATACAAGGAAATCATGCATATTCTCTGCCAGTCTTATGGCACACAACATGATTTATACCTTTCCTCCTTTCATGAATATAATGAACAAACATATCTTAAAAAAATATTTTAGATGTTAATGAAGAACTGTAATAAACATAAGCCCTTAATCTCTGCAGGTGTGCTGTTTTAAGTCTGCTCTCACCTTCGTGGACTCCATCAGTGAGATCTTTGGTCCACTACTAACTGGTCACCAGGTTGTAGTAATTCCTAAGGTAAGAGTGAACGTCACACTGGTCACAAGGTGGTGGTAGTTACTAATGTAAGAGTGAACATCACACTGGTCACCAGGTGGTGGTAATTACTTATGTATGAGTGAACATCACACTGGTCACCAGGTGGTGTTTTACGAACTCAAGTGTAGACTACTTGCCTGCACTCTTAAGAGTGAGCAAAAAAGCAGAAGAGTAAATGATAGTATTGCCTTCACCTAATAATCAGGTAGTTACAATATACGTACACAGCCTATGTACAATATATACAGTTATGTACAATAAGGCAAGTGCCAGCAAGAGACACAGTGAGAAAAGTAGCGACCAGACTGTGAAGGAAGTCTGCTAAGGATGAGTCCCAAGTGTACCACAGTGCTTCACAACTTTGGAGGGCTTTCTTGTAATTGGCTGGTTGAACCAAGGTTCTGGTATAACGATGGGACCCCTGCTCTTTATACTCTTAGCACCTGGTTCACTGGTCAGGAGGCATGCCTATGTGCCACACCCCCACTCCAGAAGTATTCTGATAGCCAGGACTAGGCATCCCTCCATCCAACTCATTAGGTAGCGTTCAACTCACGGGAACTTCCAAGTTAGACACCCCATTACGAGCGAGACTACAGACAGTAAGGCTGGTGTAGGTTCAAGAAACTTGAGGAGGGAAACAAATGTCCCTTCACTAAAAGGAAACCTTATAGCCGGATTTACTCAAATTTTACTTTATAACCATAATGAAAGAAGGAGATTACTGCCGATTTTTCACCTAACACAGCCTAACAACTCAGATTCTGCAGAAGAAGTCAGCCAGTACATCTTTGCCGGCAATGTGGCAAATGGAGAAGTTATGCTGATGTCAGCTAGGCCTGTATGCCTTGCACATGTACTTGTAGAAATAAAGATAATAATGTTAATATTAATAATAATGTTAATTAATATAATAATAATAATAAACCGTAATGCCCAACACATAAGACAAGTGTTCTTGTTTTTCACTGAGGATTGTGGTCACTGAAGACGGTGACCACATGTTATTATCTGTTCAAGAACACTTAGGAAAGCTACAGTATAAGCACCAGAGCCAGGGCCTCATGTTCAATAGTAGAGTAGCTCCACTGATAGACCTGGTATTAACTGAATAAACCATACCACGAGGGATTTGAACCCGCGATCAGAGAGACTCGCCCTTGGTATGGTTTGTTTGTAATCGTGTCATTACGATTTCGTGAGTCATTGAACTGAATAATAGTACACTTGCTGTAGACATCCCTCACCAGAAGCTTGGAGTAACATTACCCAAATTCTTGATTCATAAGCATCAACATGTAATACAAATGGTTTTAAAAAATCTGGAGACAAAAATATGGGAGTAGTGCATAAAAGTATTCCTGAAGGTCCAGCAATATATACTTTTCTAATTAGTAAGAGAGAGATTAGGATGCTACACACTCAGCAGAGGTTTTGCAAAACTTTCGATAAAATCCTTTGCAGGAACTTCTTATCCTGAGGAACAGTACATTTTTATAGCAAATGTAGGTGCTACTTTGCCACTACCTACTTCCTGACCCAAGAAAGTAATGGTATATTGGCCAAAAAATGATTTACTCAGGTTTTTAGTGAGGTAAAATCTTTAAAACCTTTCAAAGAGTGATTCAAGATGGTATACATGTTGTTCCCATGTATCAGAAACTACAACAATGTTGTCCAGGTAAGCCATTGTTCCTTAAATTCCTTTAATAACCTGAGGAATAACTTTTGGAATGTGACAGGTGAATTCTGCATTTTGAATATTGTCACATTATATTAATACTGACATCCTGGAATTACAAAGGCAGAAATCTTCTTCCCTTTATTTGTTAAAGGAACCTAGTAGTAATCTTTAAGGAGATCTAGTTTAGAAACGAAAGGGGCCTTACTTCTAAAGCACACTGGATCATCCAAATATGGAAAAGGGTAAACATTCACTACTCTAACCTTATTCACATGGCAATCAGTACACATTTGGAATCTTCCATCAAGCTATCTAACAAGGATACATGGTAAAGCCCATGGACTAGATGATTCCTCCATTAATCCATGTTCTAACAGGAAGGGCACCTCCTACTGAAATGGCCTCTATTTTGGGGGATTAGCTATGTAGGAAGAAAGTTTAATAGGTTTAGCAGTTCCTACGTCCACCTTGTGATAACCCAGGTAGCACTTTTCTTGAACATTTGAAAATATGTTGGGACAGATATGCAGAAGGGTGGAGTTATTACTTGGTCTTCTGCAAATTCCGACATTATGGGGTGAGGATCCTGAAGGATGGCTGAGTTAGGAAGTCTGATTTGAACCCCCAGAACTGTCTACAGAAAATCATGATCGTCAGTAGGGTCAGTGACAGAGGACAAAATTATTACCGAGATTAAAATCTGATTAATGTGGTAGGCTTTACTCGCATTGGTTTTATCAAGATTTGTTACCACACAGTATAAATCAGAATAGTTTTTAACTATCTGCATCGGTCTCATAAACTTCACGGGTTCTTGGTCCAACACCTGTCCCCTGGTTTAAAGGAGCAAAATTTAGAAGTTTAGTGACACCACAATTTCATGTTACATTGATTAAATTTTAGACTGGCCCTCGCCAGCTGACAGGAACTTGCAATCTTAATGAAGGATCATAGGGTGTTTTGTCGGCATCTTCTCTCATCCATCCTTCTGTGAACACGTGTAAAGGGCCTCTCACATTATGCACAAAACTCACATGAAAAGGACTGTGGCCAGATGATTCCAGCACAGTTTCTCAAAATGTAAACAGCAACAGAGGAAGCAATTCATCCCAGACTTAGGATGATAGGTGGAGAGGTTATTTTTTATTAATTCCCAGCCTAGTTAAAGCTTCACTGAATGATTTTGCTGTAACATTAGTTCCCTGGTCACTCTGGACAGATTGTGGAATGCTTAATCCCTCGACACTGGATAAGCTGAGATGGCTTGAATGCTTGCAACTATCTACACAACAGTAATGAAGCAGGGTAGATGGCAGGCTTGGCTGGTTTAGGTGGCTTAAGATCTCTCTTGTAGAGACTGGCTTGACTGGCTTGGCTTAATTTGCAACAAACGTGGATCTATTCCTCGAAGGTTAGCAAATAAGCTACTAAGCACAAAGCATACAAATCAGGAAGCGTTGTAGAGAATGATGATTAGTGCTGGCATACAATATCAGACGTATTAGTCGGGAGGCCCGGTGGCCTGGTGGCTAAAGCTCCCGCTTCACACACGGAGGGCCCGGGTTTGATTCCCGGCGGGTGGAAACATTCGACACTTTTCCTTACACCTGCTGTCCTGTTCACCTAGCAGCAAATAGGTACCTGGGTGTTAGTAGACTGGTGTGGGTCGCATCCTGGGGGACAAGATTAAGGACCCCAATGGAAATAAGTTAGACAGTCCTCGATGACGCAGTGACTTTCTTGGGTTATCCTGGGTGGCTAACCCTCCGGGGTTAAAAATCCGAACGAAATCTTATCTTAATTAATCTCCTCAGAGCCACGTAATCACCAATCACTACAATGATGTACTACCCATTGGCACCATTTGTTGTGGGGTTCGTAGGGGATATATAAAGGAGTGGAAAACACTCGTAAGTTGTTCTGGTGTTGTATATTACAGAGACCTGAGAGAGGAACACAGGCCTGCCATCCACCGAGGGAAAAGCCCTCCGCCCTAGCTCGTAGGGTCGTGGACTGACGTGGTGACATCATGGCTAGTGAGGGAGCCTTATTATAATGCATTGTGACTATATTAGTGTACTACACAAGTATCACTGTTAATATTCCTTGATGCT